TCCTCCCTACACGGATCGTTTTCACTAATGAGCTAAATGTCTAAAAACATATTACTGGCCCTGTTAGGCCCCTAGTATTGCAAAGGACTGAAAATCATGGATGCATTTCATTCATTAAGATTTTAATTTTGTCCATGGCTGCTTATTCTTATTTTGCAGTTAAAATCTAACTAACGACCCAGCATTTGTTCTTCATAAATTATGTCCTTTCCATAAACTTAGTCTCTGTGAAAAGAATGGCCTTTCAAAATCCCAGATCAACCTCTCTCTCTCTCCCTCCCTCCCTCCCTCCCTCCTTCCTGGAAGTGATCAAGCCTTTACTAGGCCATACTGGAAAACATACTTTTTATGGCACAGAGAAACTGCACATACATTAAGTTCACCATTAATACTGAAGATAACATGTTAGATGAGAAGAGCGACTTACACAGAGCACCACTTTTGCCCATCAGGGGATAAAGCAAACATACCGAAAAGACAAAAATAATCACAAGAAACCTCTACTATTTCCTGGGACACCCTAAGTTTACAAATGGCTCTAATGTGGTTCCCTAGATCCCCACCTCCTGGATGGAATCCCCCACCTTGGGGAATCCCACCTCACTGGGCATAGGTGAGACTGTCACTGGCTTCAAATCAGCAGAATAAACCAAAGATGAGGGACATCACTTCTGTGATCATGTCGCAACATTTAGTGCCCATATTTCAAGACAGTGCTCTCCTTCACTGGTTTTGAGGAAGCAATATGATATGTCCAGCAAGTCTCAGGTCTCGAGGGATTGAAGGTGGCTGGTGGCTAAAAGCAGTGACAACCAACAGGCTGCCAACAACCACACGAGCGAGTAGGCAGAGCCTCTTCTCACGGAGCTCCAGACAGAGCCACAGGCACAGCCCACCCATCATAAAAAAAAACTGCCAAAACTGTTACCTGCAGTAATACAAGAAGTAGAACGTATGTGTGTGAAGTGAATTATATAGCTAAGAAAGTTTCCCAGCAAAGTGTTGAAGGTTCTGCCTGACTGCTTCTTGTTGGTTACAGAAAAATGTAGGAGCCAGGCACAAAATTGAAGATTTGAAGATTAATTTATAAACAAAAGGAACAAGGGCTGGATGGTTTTGCAAACTGAACTCTTCTGACAGCAAAAGATGCTAAAATTCAGAAATACATCCCAAGCACTGTTAGGAAAAACTGGAATAGAATAAAAGCTGAGAATGGGATTGTACAATGTCTTGTTTAAACTTCAGGGAGATAGAGTCAAAAAGTTACATGTAGTACTTCAAGGTTCCTTCCAAGAGTCCAAAGCAAGCACATGTCTCCCAGACCCTCTCTACCACAGCAGAGGACCCCTGGGAAGTCAGGGGTGCTGTCTCTCAACCACCTCCGCCAGACCCTAAGGCAGAGCAGAGAATCATAAAGACCACTGAGTGTGACTTTTCTTAGGGGAAAACAAAAGGTGATCAGAATACATGGTGAATGTTCAAATTAAGATATTCTTACAATAAAAAGCATTGACATTAATCGTATTCAAAATATTCTCTCCCGATATTCTCGCCCGCTTTGAACACATTTATCCCATCATTTTTGCCACCTTCTGAAAGCAGTTCTGGGATTCGTTTATGAATGCCTTTTTTATGCTTGCCTGGAGGTCCTGAATCCATTCAGATGATTTATAGCAATTTCTGTTAAAGTAAAACATTACAGTGTGCCCTCATCTGCCTTATTCACTGGATCAGGCACCACGTGGCTCCTGGCTCTTCCCCTGAGTCAACATGACCAGGCAAGGTAAATGACTTGAACAAATTCGGGACATCAAGGCAGACCATGGCGCTGCAGCTAAAGATGCTCATGTATCCCAGAGAAATCTGAGGAGGACCCAAAGCACACTTCGGTACAATACAACAAGCTCAGACCAAAAGGGACAGAGGCTGTGGGAAACCCAAAGTTCTGATGCAGGAAGAAGCTGGACAGGCAGATAAAGACATCCAGCAGAAAGCAGGTGGGCATCTCTGCTTCATGACAAAGCAAGGCTGATTCAAGGAACAGAGCTAAGAACCCAAAAGAAGATCCCAGGACAACAGGGTGCTGTGCCCAGACCTTGATCAAGCAAATCTGACACCCAGCTAGATCTCACAAGTTCTTCTGTACTTTCCCTTTTCCCTCTTTTTCATAGCAGGTATGTCACCAGCCTCCTTTCCTGCCTCACTGTGGTACAGTGGGGGTGCTGGTGGTCCACAAGGTGTCTCTTTTGTTCTAGAGAGTGACAGCCATGGGGCACCACACCCAGGGAGCCATGTGCACATTGGAGCCTGATTTAAATGGCACAATCCTGGGCTTTGGGGAGATAATTTGGTGGGAAAAGACTTTTGGGGACTATGGTAGAGGTGAAAATGCATTATGCATGTGAGAGACTTGAATGCCTGGGCAACAGGAAATCAGCAGAGGCAGAGAGACCACAGTGTGACTCCAGGGATGTGTGTCCCTGGTGTCCCCATCCTGGCTAAACCCCTCCTACTGAGAGTGGGCAGGGCCTGGGAGGGACTTCTAACTAGTAGAATGTGCAATATCTGTCAAGAAACCGGTGCAATGCTTGGCTACAGAGTACGAAACCTTGGTTTGAGTGCATCGGTACGATCACCCCGAACACTGACTACACCCATGTGACCTAGATGCTCCCCAATCCAGCCCCAAATGAGACCGCAACCTCGATCAAAGCCTTGACTGCACCTGCTGAGTCCTGAGCAGAGGAAGCAGCATGCGCACGGGACACCTGGCCTTGGAGCCTCTCAGACATCAATGCATGTTGCTTCAGCCTGTGGAGCTCGTGTGACACAGCAGGGGGAGAGCCAACATACACATCATATTGCACTTTGAGAGTATTCACACCAGTGTCCATCTCTTCCATCTTCCTCCCAGCCTAAAGGTGAATGAGTTCTTCTACTCAGTTCTTACTACTGAAGAAAATCGTTTCCAAGGAAATTTTTAAAGAGAAGCAGTATGTGTGCATTGTAAAATATATGTACAAATTAAACGAGGTATTTATCTGTTATATTGGGGGCAAAGGGGTAATGTAAAAATTTTGAGATTTTTTGTTGTTGTTGCAAGTAAGCTCCCACTGAATTATGCCATGAATGGGAGATTCTTCTCCCAGATGAAGTCACTAACTGTAATTCCAGCATAAACTTGGGGACTGTGTTGGGAGAATCAGCTCCTTCCCTCGGGATCATGCAGAGCTTCTTTAGGTCTGATGACGTTTAGATGAGCATGATGTACTCAATCATTTATGATCATGGTTTCCCTTCATTTAATTCTCAAATAAGCTCACTGTCAGAATTAGCATGGCCTTTCTTTCATACGACTTAGATGGAAAGGCCTCCCATACAACACAGCAAAGGCTCTAAGAAGAAGAAGCTCTAGTAAAGCTAAGGTTTACATGAACTTCCTGGTAAACCTCTGGAAAGGAAATTCAGTAGAGGCATCAATTTCATAAAACTTTTATAGGGTCTGTATTCTTACCATGCATCTTTTTATTACTCAAACTCAAACTGTCCTCCATTACAAAAATACAGATCTCTAAAAAACTTGTCTTCTATAAATAAGGAACATTCTAAGCATAAAAAGTCTAACCCGATTTTCTCTCAATCTCTTTCTGAAAATGGAGCTTTTTGCACAACCGTGTGTGGATGTAGAATGTGGGTGTGTGTTAGCCAGAAACAAGCAGCCTCCTTCATC